AGACGCTCTCTGTGAACCCCTCTACCCTCCCCATTAGGGAAGAGCAAAGAGAAGAAGGGAGAGAGACTTTGCGGGTTGGAAAAGAAAATGAACAGGTTTAATAAAACAATAATACTGATACTACAGGATAACAATGCAAATAGGGAAATAATGGAATATAGACAGATATGTACAAATATAGATACAAAACCAATAGAAAATCCTCCCCCAATGACGATGACATCCCCAGAGGCTCTGGGAGCACTGGAAAAGTCCCAGTGCGGACCCAGCAGCAGTGGGAGCTGATGCAGGAACACAGGGCTCAGGATCAGAGGCAGGTGAAGCAGCAGGGTCTGCTGGGCCTTGGGCCATTGCAGGGGTGGAGAGGGAAGGAAGGGTCCAAGCTGGAAGAGTGGAGACCCTGGTGATCCCTGGGCTTTCCACTGAGGATGGCGTGTGTGGGATGCAATCCCTGGTTGGGCAGGTTTGGGTCTGCTCCTCCTGTAGGTGCAGACACGGCCCCCATGGTGAGACAGTGGCCTTGTGATGATCACTTGTAGCAGCACACAGTGTCTGGAGAAACATGCTGCTGGTTTCAGCAAGATCAGCCACTGAGAAGAGACTGAGCTGGAAAGTAAAATCACTGAAGAGAAAATTAGTTCTGTTTAGCCTAAACCAGGACTCACAGGCATGGGGTGAAGGGCTGGAGAGCAGCCCCACAGAGAGGGACTCAGGGGTGCGGGCCGATGAAGAGCTGGATGGTATCAGCAATGGGTGCTTTCAGCCCAGAAAGCCAACCTTGTCCTGGGCTGCATCCACAGCACGGACAGCAGAGTGAGGGGGGTCTGCCCCTCTGACCCCCCCGGCGAGCTTCATCCAGCGCTGGGTCCCCAGCACAAGGCAGCCGTGGTGCTGTGGGAGCAGGCTCAGAGGCCACAGGAATGGTCCCAGGGCTGCAGCAGCTCTGCTGAGGGAGCTGGGGGGGTTCAGCCTGGAGAAGGGATGGCTTTGGGGAGATCTCACTGCAGCCTTTTTGTACAGAAAGGGGCTCAGGAGAAAGATGGGCAGGGCCTTTTAATAGGGCCTGTGGCGACAGGACGAGGGCTCGTGATTTCAAACTGAAAGAGTCGAGATTCAGACTGCAGAGAAGGAAGAGCTGTTTGACACCGAAGGTGGTGAAACAGCAGCACAGGTCACCCAGAGAGGTGGTGCAGGCCCCAGCCCTGGAGATATTCAAGGCCAGGCTTGATGGGGCTGTGAGCACCCTGGTCTGGCTGAAGTTGTGTCTGCTCATGGTTGGGGCAGGGCGGACTCACTGGCCTTTGAGGGTCCCTTCTAACCCAAACCACCCTGGTCCTTGGGAGCCCCAAGGAGGAGGAGGCAGGAACGCCCGAAGGCCTGCGTGGATGAACAAGGAGCTCCTGGGCTTACTTGGGCACAGAAGGAAAATCCATAGGGAGTGGAAGCGAGAAGGGGTCAGCTGGGAGGGTTACAAAGAAGTTGTCCAAAAAGCCAGACGTCAGGTTAGGAAAGCCAGGGCGCAGGAGGAATTAAATCTGGGCAGGGATATAAAGGGGCACAAGAGGAATTTCTCCAGATACATCAGCGATAAAGGGAAGGGTAGGGAAGATGTGGGCCCTCTCCAGAAGGAAAATGAAGCCCTGGTCACGAGGGATGCGCTCAGTGACCTCTTTC